AAAAATACAAGGGGTAGAGTCTGATTGGCTAATCTCTGCTAAATCATGGTGTACCTGAAACTGGATTCAGAATTGTAAAAAAAACTGAGCAACCCTCCTTGCTCAATACTGTCTGTTTAACAACAAGCCAGGCATCCTGGTTTCATTTGACATGGCAATTTTCAGTCCGGGTATTTAAGAAGTCATCTTGAGGAAAGTGAACATTTTCCCGGGTCTATGTTTTGACACATGACTTAACTAACTTATGAAAATTTGGTTTTTTGTTTTCATTTAAGTTGGGTGTAGGCGTTTTTGTCAATTGTTTCATTCTCATAAACTCTGTTGTTCTTGCAAGGTAAACAAAAACAGGAAACTATGACTACCAGTGTTTCAAGTAACGCCAAAGTTCTAAATCTGAACAGTAAGTTATCAACCTTGGAGCGGCACGGAGAATTTTGTTAGAGATGTAACAATTAGTTCTCAAGGTCCCCAGAAATGCAGTTGGAGAATAAATCACAATGTGGGGAAGGAGTAAAGGGAAACAAAAAAGGTGCTTAGTATTTAATTTTGCTTGATTCTACTTTTCTAACAAAGAATTGAAGTTACTTATTAGGAGGGATATAGCAACATGGGGGATCATCCCAATACAGAAGGGTTCAGATACTCAGGGGCTAAGGCAATGACAAGTGTTGACTGTATGTAACAGAAAAGTTAGCTATTTCCTCACATAATAAGTGACTCAGAGGGAAGCAGTTCAAGGCTGGGGCAGTGACTCAACGATGTCATCAGTTCTCTGTGTAATATGCTACCCAATGGGTCTAAGGTGCCACCCAGCTAGCACACTGGGGTTCAAGGCAAGAGAAAGGGTCAGAGCTGAGCCAACTGTGTCTTTCCCCTCTTTTATCAGGAAGGCAAGAAGTCCTCTAGAAATCCTCAATGGACATTCTCCTTTTATGTCTCCTTGACCACACTGTGTCATGAAGCCAACCCCAGAAATGAAGCCAGGAAATTATCTGGCTGCCCCTCCACCAAAGTGGAATTTTTCCGTAACAGAAAGGGAAAACATGGAGATAAAGTAAGCTCTAAGCACTGCTTCCATTAAGCACTGAGCCTGAAAGCGTGATTAGAGGCTGTAATCTCATGTAGCCTCAAAGCCAACCTTGCACTTGCCAGCACGAGTGGAGGCGTGAGACTTGCTGGTAGACAGACAGAGCAGCCGGAGAGGACAGCAGGCAGTTCTGCTGAAGAGCCCCAGGGCCCATTCTCTCCAGCCTCTGTGATGTCACACTGGAACTTCTTTCCTCTCACTGATCTGTAGCCTCTTTGGTCATGGGGCTCCTGGAGCCGGCAGTGAGGAGGAAGCTGGGTGCCTTTGTTCTCCCCTGGGGGCACAGAAGGCCCAGCCATGTCTCCCTGGAAGGACGTCATGCCCTTCATGAAGGACCCCCAGCCCCTACCTCAGGTCCAGATTTCCTGGGTCCTCCCGAGCCTGTTTGCTGCCTTTAATGTAGTGCTGCTGGTGGTTTTCAGTGGCCTCTTCTTCGCGTTCCCGTGAGTCTCCTATACAAGCTGGCAGGTTTCTTAGAAAAAGACAGAAAGAAAGCATAGTTAAGAGTAGGACAGAGGCAGGGCGGCGTACAAAGGAGGGTGACCGAAGGAAAGATATTCTAGGCTGGGGGAACTGAATGTCCAAAGTCATGGGGCGTAGAGTGCTTGTACACTGGGGAGTTGCTGGTGGCTGGAAATACTGGGTGACAGCTGGTGGAACCTCTCTGGATCCTCGATAGCCTGGATGTGTAGTGCATGTTTGTGGGTCCTGATCCAAGGTGGACTGTGTTCTGGAGGACTTTCGGCCGCTCCAGATGGGAGCTGAATCCTGCTCTGTCTCAGTTGCAGGTGGTTGGCTCAGAACGGGGAGTGGACCTTTGCCATCATCACCGGTGTGCTCTTTGTCCTTACTTTCTTCAGTCTTGTTTCACTCAATTTCTCAGACCCTGGCATCTTGCATCAAGGTGAGGTTTGGGCCCTCTAGGAGAAGGTGGCCCCTAAAAGTCCCTGCCCACAGGGATGATTCCTACAGTGCTCCTCCCTTCCCCCTCCCTCCTTGGGCTTCACGATCCCATCACCCTATATCCTCATTTGTTCCAACTGTGCTTCTGACACATCATTTCCCAAGCCACTTAGATGTGGAACAACAGAATTCTAGAAGTTTTCCAGTTGCCACACAGGAGAGGGCTGGGGCAGACTGGGATGACAAGCTAGCTCTTTCAGAACGCAGTTCTCTGTTCCTTCTTCCCACTGCACGACTACTCAAAGCATCAATCGTGGTTGCAAAGGCCCAAGTTCTCTTAGGGTGCAGAGTCACCTTTTCTCTGATGGCCGGTCTCTGAAATGGATCAGCTGACTCCGTGGGCATGAGAGATTGCCCTGTCCACTAACTTCCCACCCTTCCTGGAGCTCAGTGAAACTGCGAAGCTGCCCTCAGAGCAATGGGGTAGTAGAAGGCAGATGCCAATTCTCTTCCCATGTCAGGCTCCAATGAACAGGGCCCCATGATGGTGCATGTGGTATGGGTGAACCACAGGGCCTTCCGCCTGCAGTGGTGTCAAAAGTGCTGCTTCCATCTCCCACCACGGACATACCACTGTCCCTGGTGCAACATCTGTGTGGAGGTAAGTACTCCCCTCACCTGCCTAACTGCCTCTTCTAGCACTGGCTGGGACCAAGAAGCCCACTCACATGGGGACCAATGGTGTGAAACTACATCCTGGACTGCTAAAGGCCAAGGATGGCAGTAATTCCCCAGTTACTCCTGCTCACTCATGCAGGTCACTGACTGGCCTACAGCTGCCCTGGCAGGCTGGCCCTGGCCTCACAGATGGTGACATGCACAAGGGCATCCATGTCTATGCTGGTCAGGCCAGCAGGAGGAAATTTACCCTTTAGTTCTGGAACTGGCTGACATGAGAAACTTCAGGCCCTCAGGCTGGTTGCAAGCTTAGCTCGGGGTGCTTTGCCTTTTCTGTGTGTCCAGACCAGAGGGTCTTCTGGGCTCTGAGTGCTTGTCATTCTCTTGGGCATAGTCTGCAAAGGCTTACAGGTATGTTTTCTGATCCTTACTGACAAGGGTATTATTTTCCTCACAGTGACTGAACAGAGGTACAGAGATTTCCCATATCCTTCCCCAAATCACACAGAATATGTACCAGGAAAAAGACAAGTCTTGTCTCTAAAGGCCTCTTGACAGGCAACTCTGTGGAGCACAGAACCCTAACAGCATTCTAACCACAGAAATACCAGTTTTAGGGACTTTGTGGCTCAATTTTGCCCTGGGGTCAGTGCCAGTGCATAGGGGGCAGAGGGGAGACATTGTCAGGGAACTTTTCAGGAAGGTCAGGGTGTGAGGCTTCAGATTTGGGCACTGTGGAGGCTGGCTCGGAGGCTGGGTTCAGAGGCCTGCCCCCTCTCCTCCTCTGTCAGGACTTTGACCACCACTGCAAGTGGGTCAATAACTGCATCGGCCACCGAAATTTCCGCTTCTTCATGCTGCTCGTCCTGTCCCTGTGCCTCTACACGGGCACCATGTTGGCTACCTGCTTGGTCTTCCTGGTACGCACCGCCCACATGCCCTTCTCCACCGACAAGGCCATAGCGTATCCTGATGACCACGTTGGGAGGGGGTGGGGAAAACCAAAGGGAGGACAGCATGAGGAGGAGCTAGTGGGGGTGGGGGTGGAGGTGGGGGTGGGGAGGTCCAGTCCCAGACCAGGTGGAAAGGGATCAGGAGAATGGGCGGGGATAGGAGGACCTGCAAAAGGTGGAGAATATAGCTGGGTGCTGAAAGGGCACGAATGTGTGTCCTCCGAGGTGGGCAGGTGGGTGGGGGCGGCGGCGTTAAAAGTGGCACAGGCCTGGACAGCTGCGTGGCTGAGGTTTAAGCACACGTGGAATGCAGGGTGGATGGCCCGGGCTAGTTGGGGGACAGAGGCTACTGGGGAGGGTTTAGGGGCGAGGGGCGTGGGCAGCAAAGACTCCTGAGCAAAGCTGCTCCTGAGCCTGTGTGCAGTGTCGTGGTGGCTGTCCCTGCTGCTGGCTTCCTGGTGCCACTCTTCCTGCTGTTGCTGATCCAGGCCATGTCGGTGAGCGCGGCTGAGCGCTCCTACGAGGGCAAGGTAGGCAGGGGCCCGCCCGACGCCTCCCTCTGTAACTGTTTGACTTTATAAGAAACTGCCAAAGTGGCGTTCAAAATGGCGTGTCATTTTGCATTCTCACAGGCGCACTGCATGACAATGCTCTCCATGCTCACCAACTTCTGGCATTGTCGGCTCTGTCTTTTTAGCCAGTCTAGTAAAGGCTAGTGCTACCCCATGTTGGTTTCATTTTACCTTTTCCTAGTGGCTTGTTGTTTCCTACTGATGGCATGGAGCATCTTTTCATGTCCCTGTGCGCCATCTGTATGTCCTTGATGAAATGTCTCTTCTAACCTTGGCCCATTAAAAAAAAGAATTGTGTTCTTAGTATTGAGTTTAAGAGTTCCTTATAAACTCTGGATCGAGATATGTATTTTGCAAATACTTTCTCCCACTCTGTAGCTTGTCATCTCATTTTGTAAAAAAGTGTCACCTGAAGATGTTTTACGTTTAATGAAATTCCCAATTTTTGCAAATGGAGCGTACTTCAGAGGTCGTAATTAAGGAATCTTACAGCTGGCTCTGTTTTCATTGTGCTCATTGCCAGTGAGGTCCCCAAACATTTGAGTAAATGAGTGAACTTAAGGAAAAGTGCTTTGAGAAAGAGGAGGTCAAGGCAGCAGGGCGTTGCGTGGGAGGTGGAGTGAGAAGATGCCCACTTTGGTTGAGTGTGAGGGCATTTGAGACACAGAACCAGAACTGAAGACCCAGGTCTGAAAGCTGGGGACATTCTGGGAATTTATTTGTTGGGATCTATTCATGTCTGAGGTATCCTGTGGGGAGTCAGTTCTTATGAACCTATTCAACAAAGATCACTTCTTTAATCAATGAACAATGGTTTCTAACCTTATATCTCTAGTAAGTCAAAATGTACTTACTTAAATTTAAAATTCTTAAATGTGATCACTCCTTAACCATTTAATTAAAATTACAATTAGAATATCAGTCCCTTAAATGCTTTAAATACTTTCAAAGCAGGCAGAATACTGCATAACACAGTGGTTAGTGTTGCTTTTTGGCAACAATAGGTCATTCTGGAGCTATGGACATTTCCTCCTCCAGGCATCAGCTGTCCTGCATGGATGCCCCTGGTTCCACTTGGGGAGAATAGTGTGGAAGATGAAAGAGCTCGTGACAGGGCCAAGGGCATTGGGGGCTAGTGGTGGAATCTGGAGAAGACTGGCCTGCACTAGGAAGGGGGAGGGGGTCCAGGAGGGGGTGGGAGGAGGGGTTGAGGGAGAAACCAGTTGAGTGCCCAGGGAAGGACTTGACCTCTGGGCTTGGACTTTTCTACTGTGGGTACTCAGGACCTTTGGCCCCCATTTTCCAAGGCCATGTGATTTTCGTTAGATAAATAGAACTGGACTTGTCTGTCCAGAGAGTAAAATTCATTGAACGTAAAAGTTTAGGAAAAAAAAAGTAGGCCAAGTAGGGGAGTGGGGGTGGGGGCGGGTGGAACTGTCTGTGGAGGAGGGCGGAAGATCTGATAGTAGATCTGGCCAAAGGAGACAATGATGGGGATTACACTGCAGAACAGGCACAGATGAGGGGTCTGTAGTCTCTTAAAGGGGGGGAGGTTGGGGTGCAGTGCCAGGGGTTGCCCTGACTGGAGCTACTCAGATAGGTCTTGGCTTGCTCCTTGGGTGTCTCTGCGCTGGGTCTTGCTGCAGCCCTGGCTGGGCTGGCCCAGTGAAGAGAGGATGAGGGCAGGGGCCTTGCCCAACCTGCCACCTCTCAATTCTTCTCTCCTCACCTCCTCCAGTGCCCATACCTGCAGAGATACAACCCCTTTGACCAAGGCTGTATCAGCAACTGGTATTTAACAATTTGTGCACCGCTGGGACCCAAGTGAGTTGACAAACCTGAGTCCTGAGACATGGCCTCAGAGCTAGTGGGGTGAACCTTGGTCAACCCTCTTGTCCTTAGTTTAGTGCCAGGCCCTTACACTTACAGTTTTTGTCCTTTGGGGCTTTTTCCAGGGCATTGTCAGTCTCTGGAGCCCCCCTTTCCTTGTCTCTGTGGGTACTTGGCCCAAGAAATGAGGTAGAGGGGCACTGCAGCCTGCATGAGCCTGGCCCCCCTTCCCTGTAGGGCTGCCCTGGGCTGTGTGCTCCCTGAGCTGAGTGGGCAGGGTACCAGGCCAGGAGGGCCGTGACCTCTTGCATCTGGCTTGTTGCTCCCCAGGTACATGACTGAAGCTGTTTGGCTGCAGAGAGTGGTACAGCCCGACTGGGTACCTGTGCAGAATTTGCAGGTCCCCATGCGTCCCTCTGTGCTCAATCACTCAACCTCCTGGGGGCCTGGGTCTGGCTCGCAGCCCCAACCTCTGAGTCTCTACAAACCAGGAAAGGGACCCCCAGGGAGTGGTGAGGCTGCAGCCCTCCAGGAGGTGAGAAGGGCATGGGTGTGTGCATGCTTGCATACATTTGATGGGAGATTGTGCAGATCTTGGGGGCAGCTCTCCACTGTTGTGGCGGCTCTAAAGGTGGAGCACTGAAGACCCTGGGGAGGGGGTGCTACAGGCCTAGGGAGTGTTGGTAGTAGGGTCACAGGCCTCCAGAACATACTGTGGAGACACAAAGGGGAAAATCCACATCACCAGCCACGGCCTCAGTTTTCTCAGCCGTTCATGAGGACTGAGACTATCTAGTGGTTTGCGATTTGAAGGGATGGACTGTAATTTAAAGAAAATTTTTACTCTGAAGCCCAATATATGAAACATTTGGAAGTGGAACATTAGGGGGGAAGTTGGGGTGGCCCATAGCTACTGGCCTCAGGCCCTTGTAGTGATGTTCTGTGGTGCACACTTTGTCCTCTGTGTGGGGGCCTGGGAGGCAGCAGCAGCTTGGGATGGCCTGAACCCCAGTGGGTGGGCCAGGAGCCCCACAGGGTGAGGACTTGGGAAGAGCCCCTCTTCCCCTCAGTCTGTGTAGCTCCACACTGACCCAGTGCTGCCTCTGCTGCGGGATTGCTCCTTACAGGTTCAGTCCACTTCTCACCCCACCTTCCCGGGAGAAGCCGGGAGCTTCTGCACCTGCACCTCAACTCTTGAACCCTGTGTGGAGGTCTCCTACCAGAGGTATGCGCCCCTGGTGGAGTGCTGAGACTGCCCCTCCCCCAAGTCCATTAAATACTTTTTGCTTACCTTCTATAAGTGCTTTGGTGCGCTGACTGCTGACTGTTGGGGGTTCAAAGGAGCTTGGGGGTAGCAGGCTCTGTTAGCCGAGGTGGACCCTAAGAAGGAGAAACCAGGTTCATTGCTGACTGGCTCTGAGATCTTGGGCAAGACACTTGAATTTTTCCTCATCCTTAGGATGGGGGCAACCAGAAGAACCACTGTGTCCTCGTGGCCCAGCTCCTGGTGAGAGCTGGGGAGGATGGGAGAGAGGAGATTCCCAGTCCCTAAAAAGACCCTGGCTTCCTCCCTGCCGCACTCATGTCTGGCAGCAGGGGGCGCCCGCTGTCTGAGAACGCACTGCCGCTTTCAGTCCAGCCGCGTTGCACGAGAAACTCCAGGGTGGGTTAGAACAGTTTCTCACCCTCCAGCTGCCTCATCCCAAGGGGTTAGAGGAATGGGAACGTTCTCCTAACAGCGGTATCTAGATCTTTCCTGCATCCATGTCTCCTATGGGAGAGCCAGGTGCTGCTTCTGGTCCTGTCTCTGGGTCATTCCCAGGCCCTTTGGGTCTAAAGAAGATTGAGGGGGGAGAAGGGTCACTTCAAACTGTGATTCCACTGGAGGCCATTGTGTGACCTTGGGATTAGAAATAACGACACCTTTTGGGAAGGCTGTCATTGGGTGAAGTGAGATATTTCATGAGAAACACGCTGGTGTACCGTGGGCACACCATGAATGTGGCCAGTATGATTATGATTATTTTCTTCACCACACAGCTGACAGACCAACCAGCAGTTTCTTCAAAGACCCCCTTCCAAGAATACCCTGGGTCCCCAGACCAACTCAGAATCATTGGGTGGAGGTAGGGTGGAATCTGAGTTTGAAATTTTATTAAGTGCCTACGTAATCCTTCCAGCCTGCTGTCAGGAGGTGAGGATGGGCACCAGCCAGCCTCCTGGCACCCTTGAAGGGGAAATTGGGGTGAAAGGGAAGGAGGTCATCAAAGAATGACATGAAAAACCCAGGGGTCTGAGGTGGTCGTGTGTGTCGGGGAGGGGGCTCAATACCTGGAGGTGTTGGATGGACGAGCAGGGCATGGCTCTGGCTCTCCATGCTGTTCCTGAGAGGCGAACCTCATTTTCCCTGCCACCCTGACTGCCCATGGTAACCTGAGGCTTTTCCACGTCAGCCTCACCCCTACTCTGGCTCTGGTTCCCTGGGCTCCTGGCCAGTCTTGCTCAACCCCAAAGATCCAGCTCTTTCTCAGTACCCTTTGCCCTGGTCCCAATCTCTTCCTAGTCTCCAACTCCTTTGGGGTTCAAGTTTTCTCAACTTTTATCTCTGCTTCACTCAAAGTTAACCTTGGGTTCTGGAAAGGGGTGCAATATACTCACTGCATATAAAAAAAAAAAACCAACCCAGTTCTGGCCTTGCTATAAATGGTTTCAAAGGCCACATCTTAAATCCTTGGGGCCTATATTTACACGTAAAGCTGGAGCAGCCTGGTCTGTTTTGGGAACCTGCAGTCTGTGGTTGTATGGCGAGGGGGGAAGGCTCATGAGGCCTCTTCAGTGCCGGAGCCCAGGTATGTGTATGTGTTGGTGGTGGGGGGGGAGATGCATGAATCTGTATGAGGCTCCTGTCTGTGTGCTGAAGCCTCGGCCCACCCTGGCTCTGTAGCACTGAGGAGAGGCTTTCGGGGTGGCCTGGGCCTGGGCCAGAAAGGAAGAGGATCCAGGAACCAGAGCCAAGGCTGGCCTGGGGAAATATTCATGGAACTGGCTGGGTACAGGAGCTGTGCGGGCCCAGAGCACCAGCTTTGGCTTCGCAGTGGCGGAGAAGGTCAGGCCCCCATGTTTTGGGGAGGCAGAACCGGCCTGCCTGGTTCAGAGCCCCGGGGCTGATCATTTGATCGTTGGGACTGCACACACCAGATGCCTGCCTCCGGCTACCCAGAGGGCTCACCAGGCTGGCCAGGCTTTTCAAGTGCGAAGGCAGGTGTGAGTCATCTCTCTGACACTCTGACCTCAGTTTCCCCCCTGGGTCAAGTGGGGAAAGTTTAACTTTCCTTAGGTTCTCAAAGGAGACCATGACCCTTTCTGCTATAGATTATACATTCTGGATTTCTCTAGTCCCTCCCAGACTGAGATTTCTAAGATTTCCCTAAAAACACCCCTTGGATCAGGCTTCTCTGTTATGAAGGTTGTGGGACCTAGCTTACCCCTCCCTTTGCCCCCAACCCAGCCTAAGCCTTGGACCCTCCTCAGCTTCTTCCTGCCAGACTGAAGACTCACTTGAGCTGCACCCACCCCATTTCTGTTGAGCTTCCACCCCATTTCTTTTTGCTTCCACCCCATTTCTGTTGAGCTTGCCCTTAATTCTCAGAATACCCTTCTCAGTCCTTGGCCCACTGAACAAGGGCTAAAGAGGGTTAGAGAGCCCCGTGATTGGGCCTACTGTCCACATACCCAGAAGCCTTGCCATCCTGCCTTCTCCTGGACCAGCCAAGGGGGGCCCCCAGCACTGCAGGGCTGCCAGGAGCCCACATGTCTGGAGCCCCTGTGAGAGGTCCCCAGTCTGCTCCTGGACAGTGGGGTTTGGACGCTGGGGTGGGAGTCCAGGAGCAACTCCTCCACCCTTGTCCCCAGCCTTTCCTCACAGGGCTTTAAAAAGGTCAGGGTATGGGGCCCTCCCTGGTGGCGCAGCGGGTTAGAGCACAGCACTGAGAATCTAAAACCGCTTCTGCATGAGTTCGATTCCCGCCTGCCCCGGAGGTGACTACATGGCGAAGCAGACCTCTCCTGACCCGCCCGCTGCTCCCCTCAGCAGTGTACTTCGTCGATCTGCCTATTCTGCTCCCCACTCTGTCCCTGGTGAATCCTCTCACCCTCCGCATCTCTGGTCTATACCCCAGTTCTGTATGAATAAATAAATAAATCTTTAAAAAAGGTCAGGGTGTGTAGGGTAGGAGGGTGTGCAACGCTGGGAGTCAGGGGGTTTGGGGGCTCCCAGCTCTGCTACCAGCTAATGCTGAAGGAGCGAGTCTCCTCCCTCGTTTGGCCTTGGGTTCCTTGTCTGGAAACAGGAGCGACCATCACGGCGACCTCACAGGTGGATGGACTCAGGGTCCCCTCATCTAGCTGCCACCAACTGTGACACCCCCTGTAGTTTCACAGATGGGGACAAGTGAGAGAAGGGATAGGGGAGGATGCTACGGTGCCCAGCCAGGTGGAGCGCCCCCCTTCCCAGACTGCCTCTCCCACGCCTGCTCTGGGGACCCTTCCAGAGGAGCTAAAGCTTGGGCAGCCACCACAGGCCTTGCCCTGCCCTTGGGCCCCCATGCTACAGAACCAGGCAGTGTGGGTTCAGCGGTTCAGCACTGGACCTGGGGTGCTGATAAGGCCAGGCTTAACTCTGTCTCCAGCCCTGTGCCCGGAGTGATAATGACACCCTGCTGCCTCCCACTCAGCCCCGCCCTGCACACCCCACCCAAGGGGGCCCTGTAGGTCACTGAGGCTGGGGTGGGGCAGGCACAGAGAGGTAGAGATGGAGTAGGGGACCGAATCCGAAGACCTCCCGATCTAAGTCCACACAGACATCGTGTGGCACGCCACCTCCCCGGGCCGAGGCTGGTACCTGCGGTGGTCCAATGCCACGTCGTCCTCTCGAGTCCTACCCTGCAGGGCATGGCTGACGGGAGCAGTCCTGGGGTGAAGCTTGGCTGGGGTTCCTGTGCTGGCCAAGAAAACCTTTCCTGAGTGCCACCAGGGCAAGGCCTGAGCCCGGACTGAGCGGTTCGCATGATCTTCTCATTCTCGCAACAACCCTTCTGAAACTGTTATTTGAGAGCTGAGGGAACTTCCAGCGCTGGGCCAACAAGCCACATCCCCACCATCACACACAGTGCTTCTAAGTGACCGGACCCAAACTTCCCTTGCTTTTACCATTACGCTGCTGGGGTCTGCTTCATCTTGCTTCATTTCCGTTTAGAGTAGGGGTTACGACCTGGGCCCTGGGCCTCCTGGTGGCACAGAGGGTTAAAGCGCAGCACTATGAAGCTGTCCACAGCAGCTGCAGCAGGAGTTCGATCCCTTGCCAGGGAGGTGACCCACCGGGTGCAGCAGACCTCTCCTGTTTCACCTGCTACTTCCCTCAGCAGTGTACTTCCTTGCTCTGCCTGTTCTGTTCCCCAAATCTGTTTCTGGTGAATCCTCCCATCCCCCGCTCCTCTGGCCTGTACCCCAGTTCTTGTGTACATAAAAAAAGAAATCTTGGACCCTCCCTGGTGGCGCAGCAGATTAAAGCGCAGCACTAAGAAGCTAAAGCCGCTTCCGCATGAGTTCCATCCCCTCCTGCCTGGAGGTGACCACATGGCCCGGCAGACCCCTCCTGACCCGCCAGCTGCTCCCCTCAGCAGTGTACTTCCTTGCTCTGCCTGTTCTGCTCCCCGCTCTGTCTCTAGTGAAGCCTCTCGCAGCCCCTGAGCCTCTGGCCTGTACCCCAGTTCTGTATGCACAAGTAAATAAATCTTAAAAAATAAAAAGAAATCTTAAAAAACCCAAAAACCTGGGCTCTGAAGCCAAATGCCTAATGTCCCTGCTCTAACTTCCCTGTGATGAATAATCACCTCCCACGGCACAGCTGGAGGGGCTGTGAGGGGCCGTGGGGACCTGGCGCTGGTGGGTGCTGGTGCACAAGGTGCCTCCCTGATGCTTGTGATCAGCAGCATAGGGTGAAGCTGACCTGCATGAGCTCTCAGGTCTATGGCCCCCACATGCCAGTTACCATGGCAACAGCAGCCTGTGTCTGCCTTGAGGGGTGTCAGCTCCCTAGTGGCCAGGCAGCAAAGGTGAATGAAGGGTGCTGCCTCACAACGGGAAAGGAGGCATGGGCGCAGGCTTTAGGGAGCAGTGCGAGCCACCCAGAGGGCTTCC